AAGCGATTTTCATCTCATAATTTGAAGGAAGACAAAGTGCGTATACACCTACGCCATTGTGATCGATGCTGAGCCATGTCACACACACACAGTCTCCAACCATTGTTTACGATTGTCACAAGGACAACAATCAAGTAGCCTGCATCTACCAACATGGCTAACACTACAAGTTAGTAACTTCAAGCACTGATGCCACGTTTTAGTTTGGCCACCTCTAACTTTCTCCCAACCATCTCTAACACCAGTCAGGATTGCGCGTCGTGGTAATCGGTGTTCAGATATACGCAACACCATGGCCCAACAATCTCAGTCGATGAAGATACACAACCTCATCAACTGATTTACCATCATCATTCCCTAACACCTTGCGTCTAACCTCACTATTGCTTATCCGGTGATCTCAGTAGATGCAAGTTATATTTCTAAGACATCTGTGATCAAATACTATTAACTTAGGAGTATCAGTTAAAACTACATAAAAGGTGTGATTTGTTAAGAAATGCTCTTAAATGCCATTAAAAAACAAGAGAAAAAAAAAGAATCCAATTGGAATGATGTAACTATTCAAAAAGATTTAATATGCATTGCATTAAAGATTTCAGGTGGTTGGTAGTCATTATTAAAAAAAACAGACATATATTTCGTAGTCTTTAGTATTTGATGTCAGCACAGCGTATACACAATCTTCAAAGAATTGATGCTATCTATGATACCCCAAATTTTGAATTCAAGCCACTTTTATTAAATAAGAAAGCGATCGATTAACCTAATAAGAAACCACAATTTATTATTTTAAAAAATCAGTCGTTGATGTATAACCTGGAACTTTGCAACCATGTGTATCATTTCAAGCTGCTCCATCATAACAGAACAATGAGATGTAATTATCATAAATAGAAATCCAGTGTATTAAAAATAACTCCACCTGTAGCTCTTCTAGATTTACTGCCGGTCCCAAGACCGGGTAAAGGTGGACGGTTGGGCATGGGATTACCGACCCCATCCCGTAGAAAACTAACTCGCTAAAAAACGCTAACCAAAAAAATAATTCAAACCATTTTAACTCTGCCTTGGGAATTTGGTCTTCATTTAGAAGAAATATGACGCCTCATGATGAAAGACAAGTTCTTCGGAAGCCATGAGGTCGATGCCCCATCTAACAACAAGAGCAACAATTTTTATATGTACATGGAAGGTCCGAACAATGTGGGAGACCAGTCAAATAGCAACAGAAATGAGGAGATACAACTTAGCAGAACTCTGAATCAGCGAAACCCATTGGACCCAAGTTGGATAACAAAGGCTAAATACGGGAGAAATGCTGCTATACTCCGGTCACGAAGAGGAAATTGCTCCACACACTCAGGCAGTTGTTCTAATGCTGTCCAAAGTAGCACGAAACGCACTTGTAGGATGGGAATATCACGGATCCAGAATCATCAAAGCATCATTCAAAACAAAGGAGGGGATCACAATGAATATTATCCAATGTTATGCACCCAGCAATGATAGCAACGACGAAATTAAAGATCAGTTCTACGAGCGGCTGCAGTCAATCATTGAGAAATGCCCAAGAAAGGACCTAACTATTCTAATGGGAGATCTAAATGCCAAAGTCGGAATAGACAACACTGGATATGAAGATATTATGGGACGACATGGTCTTGGAGAGACAAACGAAAATGGAGAAAGATTTGCAAATGTGTGCATTCAACAAATTGGTCATAGGAGGCACAATATTTCCACACAAGCGTATACACAAGGCTACATGGATCTCACAGGACCACACCAAAGAGAACCAAATAAATCATATTTGCATCAACAAAAAATTCCGAAGGACAATGGAAGATGTGAGAACCAGGAGAGGTGCTGACGTTGCTTCAGATCACCACCTAGTTGTAGCCAATTTAAAACTGAAGCTAAAAAAGAACTGGACAAGTGGACAAACAGCAATACAAAGGTTCAATACAGCCTTCCTTCGAGATACTGACAAACTCAATGAATTCAAGATAGCTCTCAACAACAGGTTCCAAGCCTTACAAGATCTACTGAAGGAAGGAGAAACTACTGTGGAGGACAACTTGAAAGGTATCAAAGAAGCATTAACTTCAACGTGTCAAGCGGTTCTGGGCCTCAAGAAACACCATCATAAGGAATGGATCTCTATAGAAACAATGGACAGGATCAAAGAAGAGCGAAAAGACAGCAACTAACAACGGCCGAACACGAACAGAGAAAGTCCAAACACAAGCTGAGTACATGGAAGCAAACAAGCAATTGAAGTAAAGCATTAGAGCCGACAGGAAGAAATATGTGGAAGAATTAGCAACGACGGCAGAAAAAGCTGCTAGAGAAGGAGACATGAAACAGCTTTACGATACAACGAAGAAACTATCAGGGAAATACAGTAAACCAGAGAGGCCGGTAAAAGACAAAGAAGGCAAGCCAATCACTGAAATTCAACAACAGCGGAACAGATGGGTAGAATACTTCGAGAAACTCCTGAATAGGCCGGTTCCAATGAATCCACCGGACATCGAAACAACACACACAGATCTTCTTATAGATATCAACCCACTAACAACGGAAGAAATCAGAATGGCCATCAGACAAATCAAGAACGGCAAAGCAGCACGGCCCGACAACATACCAGCTGAAGCACTGAAGTCAGACATCGAAGTAACTACAAACATGCTTTACCCTCTATTCAAAAAGATTTGGGGGGAGGAACACATGCCAATCGACTGGAAAGAAGGACACCTTATCAAGATTCTAAAGAAAGGAGACCTGAGCAAATATGACAACTACAGGGGCATAACACTATTGTCAATACCAGGGAAAGCCTTAAACAGAGTTTTGCTGAACCGGATGAAGGATGCAGTATACGCCTAATACCGAGATCAACAAGCTGGATTCCGTAAGGATCGGTCGTGCACAGACCAAATTGCAACACTACGGATCATCGTTGAACAATAAGTTGAGTGGAACTCGTCACTATACATCAGCTTCATTGATTATGAAAAGGCATTTCACGGCGTAGATAGGAGAACGTTATGGAAACTTCTCCGACACTACGGAGTTCCTGAGAAGATTGTCAATATTATCCGGAACTCACACGACGGACTACAGTGCAAGGTCGTGCATGGAGGACAGCTGACAGACGCATTCCAAGTAAGAACCGGAGTCAGACAAGGCTGTCTACTATCTCCCTTTCTCTTTCTTCTGGTGGTCGACTAGATTATGAAGACCTCGACATCTGAAGGAAAACACGGCATACAATGGACAGCTCAGAACCAATTAGACGATTTGGACTTCGCAGATGACCTAGCCCTCCCATCGCGTACACACGAACAGATGCAGATGAAGACAGCCAGTGCAGCAGCAGTCTCAGCATCAGTATGCCTCAACATACACATGGGGAAAACCAAGGTCCTCAAATACAACACGGAGAACAGGAACCCAGTCATTCTTGATGGCGAAATTCTGGAAGACGTAAAATGCTTCACATACCTGGGAAGCATCATCGATGAACAAGGAGGTTCAGATGCAGATGTAAAGGCGGAGATTGGCAAAGCCAGGGCCACATTCCTTCAACTGAAGGACATAGGGAACTCAAAACAACTCTCAACCAATATCAAAGTCAGAATCTTCAATACCAACGTCAAGGCCGTTCTAGTGTACGGAGCTGAAATTTGGAGAACTATAACAACCACCATCAAGAAAGTACAAGTATTTATAAATAGCTGTCTAAGCAGGATACTCAACATCCATTGACCGGATACCATCAGCAACAGCCTTCTGAGGGAGAGAACAAACTAGCTTCCAGCTGAAGAAGAAATTAGGAAAAGACGATGGAAATGAATAGGACATACGTTACGCAAATCATCAAACTGTATCATGGGGCAAGCCCTTACTTGGAATCTTGAAGGGAAGCGGAAAAGAGGAAGGTCAAAGAACACATTACGTCGAGAAACAGTAGCAGACATGAAAAAGATGAATAACAACTGGAAGGAGCTGGAAAGGATTGCCCAGAACAGGGTTGGATGGCGAATGCTGGTGAGCGGCCTATACTCCTTCACGAAGAGTAACAGGTGTAGGTAAGTAAGTAGTAAAAGTATTAACAATGCAATGATTACCTAACACATAAACGATTGATTAATATGATATATATACCTGTGCGGAGTCATGATGAAAAGCTAATATCAAAAAAATATTTCTTCAATCTATTTCTAGCCCCCTTGTATCAATGTTTGTGTGTTTAAATAAATAAATAAAATAAAATAAATGTTCAAACAAATTTGATTGTAACAATAATCCATTTGCTGATGTAAATGATGACTTAATTATGAAAATGGAAAACTACTCATGTACATATATATGTACCTGGTTACTTAGTTACTGAGTTCAACACAAAAACTAGACTGAACACCATACCAAAATGGTTACAGAAACAAATGGATTTCAATAGTCAAATAAGATCACAGAATAGACAGATATCATCTTTCATTGTGAAACATTTGATTGAAACTAGTCATATGGTTGATATCAAATCATCATTTCTAGTGTTATACAAAAGCTTTCAAGGACGTATACCAAGGGTGATTTTGAAGCCTTGGCTATACGGAAATTGAAACCCCATTCATGTGTCCAAAAACAATTTGTCCTTACACTTAACCTATCCTGGTAATACTGATTTATTAACCGAAGTAGTAATCACATTTGTTTCTATGTACTTCAATATTTTTTTACTTTGTTATGGCTTACTCTTAACCTGTCTAGTTGACCTTTTAATTTTCATATATAAATGTTCTTAACAAGTATATTAGGTGTGATCATATGGTTCGAAATGTATTACGCAATTCTATCATTTTACATAAATCTGATAAACTTCATCTTCTTATTGCATTATTGAAAAACTAGACTGTTTCAGTTAGTGAATAAAGATGAAGATATAGAAAAAAATGTTAAGCGTGAGTAATAATTAATATATATTGATTTACCCTTAATGTGACTCTTTTGGCTGGATTCAATACCAATAGTTTACGAAGTAATGCTTCACAATCAGTTGACATATAGAATGGAACACGATATTTGCCACGTAATACACGTTCTTGTAAATCCTAGAATTATATTATGTATACATATATGTATAAATGTGTATTATATATGTATGAAAAAGCGGGATGAAAAAAAAAACGCGGAACCTTATCAGAAGTTTCAATTATCAATCTCGGATTATATCAGAAAAATCTAGTGAAATAATTATCATGAGAACGAATTCCTATGTGTATGTGCCCGCACGACTAACTTTGAATTAATGCATGTCTAAAACAAAAATAACATGCTGTATAACTGTCTATCTCTTTCATGGAGGAAGTTCGCTATTCAGTTGAATTAAAAAATATTCACCCAATGATCCCTTCATTCTACTATTTAGATGGATCTGGAAAAAAAATCGACCACTTTTCAAGAGATGGTCTATGCGTTGGTAAGTGAACAAGAAGTCATTAGATAACATAAATAGTTTGTTGATGCTAATCTAATTTAAGTAAGTATAAAATGACTACTCTCCCCCCCCCAAATGTCCTGGTACGGCCAAGGGTAGGGAGAGTTAGCTCTCTCTCTCACGAAATGCTCTCACATGGCCACGTCCAAACAACCACTGTCAGGGAAGTCAGACTCATTACCATCTCCCGGTATTACTATTGTTTACGAAATTGAGAGGAAGAAAAGCGAATGTCCGGCGCTTTAAACGGGTTGGTGGGCACAGAGTATCCACCAAGGGGAGTTGGAAAATCTTGATTCCAAACCAATGATGCAAATGGGCTCCAGGATCCTAAGAGAACAGATGCCGTATAAACCTATTGTTAGTCACTGGCTACCATGGGACTGCATCTCTTAAAGTTGCTCCACTGCCTTGTGAATCAGTGATTCATTTGCTTCGGTTTGGGTACCCGGGCAATATAACAGCTCACACACACAAATCAATGATAGCTGCTACTGGCCTTATTGTTATTGTGTGTATTTGGTGCCCCTTGCACATATTATGTTGATTAAAGTAAGCAAGTGTACCGGAAGCAATCTGAAAAGATATATGTATACAATTAAATGAATGGTTTACGCAAATCCTAAATTTTATAAGTATTTCAAATATTAAAGAGCAAAAAAAGCGGAACGATTAAAACTAACTTTTAAATGTTGTGCATCAAATGGTAATGATCCACTGACAAGTGTATATAAAATTACACCTAATGACCATACATCCACTTCTGGACCATCATATTTACGTCCTTGAAATAATTCCGGTGCAGCATATGGTGGACTACCACAAAAAGTATCTAATTTTTTAGATCCATCAAAAAGATTGGAGAAACCAAAATCAGCAAGTTTAATATTAAAATATCCATCGAAGAGAAGATTCTCAGCCTGAAATGCAATCGAAAATTGTATCGATAATTGAAGGGATCTACTTTAGTGGATAAAGAGTAGAATATCATTCCACAAAGTAATGTGGAACTAATCTATGCGCTACTACTTCACAAGAGAGCTTCCATTGTATCTGCGTCAACGTACGAAATAGCTAAGGGCGAGAATGGGTTTGTCCTATGATTTTTTTTTACTGTTTTTCAAGGTAAAAACTTAAGACATGTAGTTAATCCATAACTGCAAAGAATATGGGAAAACTGAAAGTTATTATGAGAAGTACATATTTTCAGTTTTTAGAGAACTTTCAGAATACAATGATATGAATTCAAACAATTGAAAAAACTCAAGATGATTTCCTAGTAATCAAGTGTAACAACAAGTAACACGGTATTATTGCATGTAAACATCACATGAAAACGTGCTGACAACACATTAAGACATTAAATGACGGTCAATAACACAGCCTTTTCATGATTATTTATATTTATTTATGCACACTTTGTAACCTCATCTCCGATATTAAAGATTTTATCTCAAAAGACAGTCCAGCTTACTACTATCCCAACATTTGCTATCCACGCTATTAAAGTCTAAGAGAAGGCAAAATCACTGGAAACTTAGATTCTCTGTAAAAGATATTGCCGTAAACTTATCAAAATCAATCAAGCAAACTCTGCTTCCAAGTTGAAGCTTGCTAGTTTTGGTTATGTATAATATACAGAAGCAAATAACTAGTCCACTAAGTAGATGTTTAAAAATTTAAATATACATGAAAATTAATGCGTGAAGAGATAATTTACTACTTAGAGTAATCTGATTCTAAATGAACTCGAAGTTCCAAATAATCGATTGACTTTGATCAAACAATTACCGAGAACCGGGAAGCATAAATAGCTATTTAGTTCTAGTATAGTACTATTCGGAGGTGAACCTATAAAAATCTACAAAAAAATTGAATCTCGAACCTCCAACTCTCCAGACAAGCACTTAATCACCAGGCCATTAAGTCAGCACTTAAGGGTTTACATTTCTAGCTTCAGTTATTTCGCGACACTAAATGATTACATATTACCAGTAGTGATATTTATCTCATGAGCGACATAACTGAACTCCATTAGTCATAGTTCCTTACTAAAACTTCTGTAATCAAATCTCGACATTAGGTTATTGATTGTATATTTCAAACTTAGTTCTCGTTTAGTCTAGAAAATCAGATCGGACACACTTGAATAATTATACTTGAAAATCGTTTATAAATCAACAAAATGAAAAGAAACAGAGCAACAATCACAAACCTTTAAATCTCTGTGTACAATTTTCTTTTGATGACAATATTCAACTGCTGAAACAATTTGACGAAATGCAGCACGTGCTTCACGTTCTTTCATTCGACCATGAGCTACTAAGTGATCAAATACTTCGCCTTTAATTATACATTTTGCATCATCAAAGGAAAAGGAAAAGAATGAAAGGGAAATTAATTATCACTTGAATAAATCATAGTTACAAATATTATTGATTATGAATAAATCAACCAAAAGGAAGGTATACAACAATCTATTTTGAAAAGAAAAGAAAATGTAGTTATCTATCTTATATTTGCTTAATTCTCAAACATAAAATAAACATCAACATTACTAATGATCAACAAAGTGTAGAAAAACATGAATACTGTAAACAGTAGAATGATATAGTAAACGAACTCGATGACTGTTTTGAAGATATGATGAGTTAAAGAACTATTGAAAAGATCTACAAGCATTATGCACTATTATATAAATAAAAGAATATTTACTATAAATTTTTATCTGAGGTAATCACTATCTAAATATGCACCCCAAATGCCCTGGTGCGGTTGAAGGTGCAATGAGTCCTCTCTCCTTCTCGAAATACTCTCACATGGCAACACGTATACAACCACTGTCATACTCACATGCCTCCTCGCGGCAATACTGTTTTTTTACGAAATTAAGAGAACAAAAAGCGAATGTCCGGCAATTTAACCGGGTTGGTGGACAGGAGAGTTGGAAAACCCGGATTCCAAACCAATGGTACAAATAGGTTCAAGGATCCTGAGAGAACAAATGGCGTAAGAACCTATTGTTGGTCAACGGCTACCAAGGGACTGCATTTCCTGACGTTGTTTCACTGCCTTGTAGATTAGACCTTTAAGTCAAAGGTTCCGGGTGTGACCCCCTAAGAAAACCACCTGCTTCGATTTGGGCATCCAGTCAGTATCATAGCCCATATACAAACCAAGTGTTTTGTGTGGCGCATATATCTTTGGTGCTCCTTTGTACCAATATTGATGTGTTTAAATAAATAAATAATAAATTGACAATTAGGTACGTAATGGATTTAAAAAGTAACAACAACAAAATACATTGTCCAACTATGTCAGACTTACACAGTGTCTCATACAATTCGATCATCATCATCATCATCATCATCATCATCATCATCATCATCATCATCAGTAACAAATAAATAAATAATAAACATAACTGAACAATCTGTAAGACAAGATACCAACCACATAAGTTAACTAGTTATAATAATTCTACATCTGATACATATGTCTTTAATCAGTCATAAATAATGTAGAACCTGGCATATATGTGCATCAGTCCAAATTGATACAGCACATTAGCAAACCGAGAAGAAATTATTGAGATAAATAGCAGAGTAGTAGAATTAGTAAAAACAAAACAAGTAATAGTAGAAAAAAATTAGGCAGTGACAACAGAATGTGAGAAAATGAATCAATCAGCAGAATATAAAGTATAAAATTGTTTAAAAACTCAAGATTTAAACAAAGATAAAGAGTGAATACATTTACACCATTGCGAACAATTCTATACTATGTAACACACACAACCAGTCAGTCTTGAGTGCTGTTAGAGGTATGAGGGCGGTTTTCACTTCCCGGTAGCCCACACCGTGGAAGGGTTCTTCTGGAGGTACCTGAAAAGGAATTTGGATTAAAGATGGTCTTAGTGACCTGAGAGCGTGACCGCAGTGCCCAAGGGACAACTGCTTGAGATCGGTCACACACGACCTTGTTATGGGTAATTTTTGTGTTAGCTCCGTACTTATTGAGACCTTACCGCCGGAGACGGATATCCGTGAGGTAAGGTAAGGTGCACATTTTTAGAGTCGACCTTTTCTAACCCCACCACACCTTCTGGGAAGGCAGCATCGCTGTCATGCTGGTTGTCTGAAGGAAACACCTTACTGCTGTCACACCCCTGTACAGTCAGCAGTACGACTTCACCTTCGGACCTTGGGTTTGTTGCTTTTAGTCTTACCGCTCTTCAACCGACCTGTCTGACATGGTAGGACCTTGAGGAACGGTTGTTCCAGCCAGTATAGCTCGGTTGCTTCATCACGATAGGCAAGCCCGACCACCACGTCAAGGTAGCAACAACGGTCGGGACACACAACCATATTACAATAATTGTTCAGATCTTAATCAGTTAATCTACACTTGCCAACATGGATTGGTTCAATAGTTAATGACTTCATGGAGTAGTATCATAAAAAATCGCATGTTAAGGTAAGAAGTGTTTAGGCATACATATAATACATGCTCCAACTAATCCAATCAATAAAGATTCACAACCACATTAAACTATTCACATCTTTACTCAGTATTTTGAATCTAACAGTAACATTGTTAACTTATCTCTTCAGTAGACATTTTGTTTAGAACATAAAAACAAAAACAGAAAAAAGAGAAGATATCCGTTATAAGCAGTAAAATATACACATATGAATAATTGTAAATAAATGCACAAATATACAACAATAACATTCGCATGAAAACATGAGAGCTTATGTAAATTATTCAATTTAATGTTAGTTTTTATTGCAGATTAGAAATGTAGAATTCAGATAGTAATTGACACAATGCTTCGAACTAGTATTTGAAACCTTTCAATAAAGAATATAAATCATTCACGATCCAATACAATGTTGAACTCATAGAAACTCTAAAGCAAATATCAAAGAGTACTATATCTTTGATTGATTTATTTATTTAAACACATAAACATTTGGTACAAGCAGATGATACCAAATAGATATGCTCCACATAAATCATTCGATTTATGCGAGAACTAGGATACTGCCCGGGTGACCGAATTGAAACAGGTAGTTTTCTTAGGAGGCCATAACCAGAGCCTTCCACCTAAAGGTCTGATCCACAAGCAGTGGAGCAATGTAAGGAGATGCAGTGCCATGGTAGACGGTGACCAACGGTTGGTTCATATGCCACTTGTACCTTCAGGATATGGGAGACCATGTACACCATCGGTTTAGAATCAGGGTTTTTCAACTGCCCTAGGTGGACTTTCCGTGTCCACCAACCCGTTTTAAACGCCAGACATTTGCTTTTCGTGTTGTCAATTTTGTAAAGAACACCCCCGACCACGAGAAGGTAATGAGTAGGACTTCCCTAACAGTGGTTGTATGCAAGTAACCATGTGAAAGCATTTTTCGAAGGAGAGCTGACTTTCTCTACTCTCGGTCGTACAAGGGCATTTGGGGGCTCTACTATTTTTAAACCACTAAGTCACTATATTCTATGGTTCTGATTGAACTCTACAAATTATGATTTCAGATGGGAAAAAAAAACAACTAGAGAATCTATTACAAAGTTGGTCACAGGTAATAGATTACAAATGTCAATTCTTTCTAGTTCTCAATAATTAATTAAAATGGTAACAGTCCATGATAAAATAAATATGAACACTAGTAACATAGTAACTATGCACGATGCACGATAATTAGGATAAATGAAAAAGAATTAACCATATTGAACACGATAAAAAAACAAACATCGATTGTAGAATAGTATATGGATAAATATGTATATGTATATCTAGAATAGAAACAAATTATGTGAACATTGAATTACAATGTAAACACAAATTACATATGCCCTCATATATCACAAGATAGAGACCGAAAGGATTCACAACAAAACTATGTCGATAGATACACACACACACACAGCCACACAAAGTATTGTGCCAGCAACCAACAAAGGTCAAAAGATGAATGAAAATGCAGATGATAATAATAATAATAAGTACGAAATAGCAATAGTTATATGATACACAAAGTAACCATAATGGATTGTAACGCCTACACAGTATTCTACTCACAAATAAACATGTGTTGAAACAATAGCACTTTGATGATAATACTTTTTTTTCTTCTATTTTCATAGTAGAAATACCATTTCAAAGTTAGAATAATAAGTAGCACTAATCATAATACACTGAGATCAATATTCACCATATACAACTAATAAGTGCTTTGAACGAATGCCAAAAAAAAGTAAACGACGATTATGAAACAATCATCAATGGTAATATGTAGATAGATGAATAATCAAAGTAAATGGAATTTGGAAATTTTTTTACTAATTTCATCATATAATGTATTTGATGTTCTACTAGAAGAAAAGATTGGTAGTCTGGATAATATGATCAATGGACGAAAAAGTTAACATTAAACAAATCCTGAAGAGTTTAAGTCAACGGTAATTATCAGAAAGAGATTTTTGTGGATATTATATTCATTTTAATAGTTTAAATCATGAGATAATTGAACCTGGACGACCGTTTCCTCCTAGTATGGGATACCTCAGCAGTGAGCATCCACGATCAATGAAAAATACTTAATGTTGTGTGCAACGATAACTTAGTGATAAATACTAAAAATCACGAGTCTCATTAATTAAACATGAAATTCTTATGAGATGATTACAAAACATGTATGTAATTGAAGTAATTTGTTCAAAGTGGAAAAAGTTAACTGACCAATATACATAATGATTAAAGTGAAAACTGACTACACTGCTAAGCAAATGTAACAATTATTGGCTTCGGTAATAATATTCATCAGTGAAAATATATTGAATGTAATTCAGAAACTTTAGACAAGATATCACAATTTATAAGCCTAAAATATAAAAGAACCGACTGTACAACACACACTAAATAACCGTCGAACAACGGTGTCTTCTCAGAACATTTGCAGATAATGAATATTAACTGTACGCGTCCAAATCGATTTAAGTAAAGTGATTAAGTAAATAAAAAAAATAGAGCATATTGACGAGATTTCAAGAACCAAATAAAATTATTTCAGTTCATGATGAGCAAAAATTAGATCCAACACCCAATTTTTAATTAATTAGAAAGTATTTAACTGTGATTGCCTATAACATTTTTCAGCATTACTTTTAGTTTATTTATTATTTATTTGAAAACATAAATATTGGTACAAATAGAGTATCGAATACATATGGGCCATATAAGTCAATTGATTTGTGTGTCGGCTGTGACACTGTTCGGATACCTAAACCGAAACTGGTGATTTTCTTAAGGAGCCCCACACCCGGAGCCTTCAATC